GTTCTAACCTATTTTCTGTTGTCATTTTTAAGACTGTAATTGGTTTAAATTTTTCTGTACTCCAACATCCACCACGCTGGGTTGAGGAACTCTGATGGTTTATGTTTGTGTATGCTATGGTAACAGTTTTATTTATTTAGTGTAAATATTTTGTGTGCAAAGGAGTTGTGAACATATATTTATCAATATATTGGGTAAATGGTGTATATTTTAATAGGAAATTTTGTCCTAATAAAATATCACATCCAATTGTGGTTGACATATATATTGTATCAACAAATACTTCTGCAAAGGAAACTAGAAAATGTACTTGCGTAGCATATTTGCTGTATATTACCTTATTTCCACCTGCTGTTGTAGCGGTGACAATCTTCTTTGAATTATATTTTCAGTATTCAGACGGTAGTACATTTGGTAAGCATAAACTTATTGTACTTCCTGTATCTAAGTAAGTATGAAATTTAATTCTACAATAACTTTTTATATTGAGTGTAATTTCAATATATGGACTCATGGGATTAGTACTAATTACTCTTTCCATGATAACAATGATTTCATATTTTCATCTATTCTTGATATAATAATTGGGTTATCATCAACTGTTATTTTTAAATATCTTTGGCAGATTTTAGAAGGACTATATTTCTCAAGAAAATTCATTCCTAGTAGAATAGGTGAACGATCAACTCCATATAATTCATCCTTATATAGTATTATTTCTTAAGTATATTCTCTCTGATCTTTTCCTATAAGTATAAGAGGAAACTTTACATATTTTTTTATTTCAAGATTATTGCTTAGATAATTCTTAAATATATATGGTTTTGGTATTTCAAAGTCTATTAAATGGTTAACAAATTTAGCATTTACATGACTTTTATCTGCTCCAGTATCTATGAGGACAAGAAGATTCTTCTTATGTCCTTCTTGATTTACATATCTAGTTTTGATGTAATATTGCGAACTTGATGGTTCAGCAATACTTATATTTTAAAGTTTGCTTATCTTAGAGTCTTGTCTAGGGGAAATCTTGCAATCAGATTATCTCCTTCTAGGCTGACACTATTTCTTCTTATTAGTTTTCGTTCAGAATTAATTTCTCTAACTTGTTTGTGGAAATCAAGTATTATCTGTTCTGGTATAGTGACTTCATGTTCTTGGTATTTCCTAGGAGGTATATATTGTGCTAATTCCTCAAAATCTTTATGTATAATAATATTATCAGTTATTTTTCTTAAATTGTTAAGATGGCTAGTACTAAAAGCAAAAATTGATTTTATGCTTATACTAACAGCCTTACTTCTTCGTAACATTTTCAAGTTTTCAATTCTATAATATAGATTAAAACTTTGGTCAATATTTTCATTATTTAATGATATTGCATAATTTGATTTTACTGTAAATATTATCTTCTGATAGATTAAGTTTCATACTACTGTTCCTAATAGAGCATCTATAGGATCTTGTAGGATTCTGTTGTCCATGCAATAAATTTCAATCGGTATGTTCATACATTCTCTAAAGAATCCTTTTACCATTATCTGGACTCCTCCTATTTGAATACATTTTAATTTGTTTCTTACATTCTCTGGAATTTTGGATAACTTTTGTTTTACCTATCCTTTTGTGATTATAGGAATTCTCGCTTTTCCTATAGTATCTTCTATGTTGATAGACATTTCTTTATAATTCATACTTGCAATTATTTTATTTACTCTTGATAATATTCCTAAAAATCCTTAATGGAATACATCTTTTTCTTGTAGGTCTAATATTTTTTTAGTAATTTCTGCGTATTTTTTAATATCAAGGGTAATTTCTTGATTTATACCTTCTATTGAATCTTCAACTTCTTCAGTTGTTCCAATTTCTATTTCTGCTTGTTGTATCTCTTGATTCATATATACTACTTCCTCAAATTCTTCCTCAGATGAGGATGTATCTAATTCATAAATACTACTGCATTCACTACTTAGATCTCCAAAATTTTCAATTGGTTCTATATCACTATCTTCTTGAAATTTTTCATAAATTATAAGAGTTTTTATATTCTGTCTATCTTTCTTTTTATGACATTGAGGGGCAATGTGCCCTTCTTCCTTACAGATGAAACATCTACATTTTTTAATATTTCTTGGTTTAAATTTTTTATTCCAATTCCTTTTCTTGAAATATTTTTTTTTGTGGTTTAAAATTCATTTTCTTAAATTTTTTTGTAGTTTTTGAATTTTCTTTTATATTTCCTATATGATTTATATTTCTTCTTATGGCATCCAAATTGTTCGACTTGGCCTATATCTTTGTAACAACACAAAGAATTTTTTCTTATTTTATATGCTTTTTTACTTTTTAAGGCTTCTCTGCACCACATGCCTATCATTCTTTTTGTAAATTCAATTCTACTTCCAAGACTATCTATTTTTACTCCTTCCTTTTCTTCTAGAGGTAATAATTTTTCATATTCTTTTAATAACTTAATTCCCCATGGGAATGGTAACTTAGTAAAATAAGACCTTAATATAGGTTTATTTTCTTAATAATCTCCTTTGTTTAATATATATTATAATTTCTCAAATTTACATGTGTATCTTTCTAATTCACACATATCACATACCTTTAAATTTTTCATTGCTATCATTCCTTCATTATATTCATCTTATTTTCTTTCTTCTTCATTAGAAGCATATCTATCTCCTAAAATATTTATCTCCTAAAAATTCTGTTCTCAAGATTTTTTCAAACCTTTTTAATAGCTCATGTATATTTTGATCATTTAAAGTATTCCTATTATCTAATACTTCAATTCTATTATCTCCATACTTTATTCTTCCTTTTATAGTTTTTGGTAACTTTCTCCATCATTCAGAAATAATTCCTCTGAATGTATGTTCTATAAATCCAAAAGCTGTATATGTTTCCCATTTATTAAATTGTACTGCTAAGTCTGTACTTTTCATCCATGTTTCAATAGCTTTATTTTTATCTACACAGTCTAGATCTAACCGTACTCATGTTGTGTGGATTGGTTCACTATAAGATTTCATTGGATTTATTTCTTTTATGGATTGTTTTCTTATATTTCCAATGTATCTTTTCTGTGTCTTCCTATATTGATTAATACCATCATTAAGAGGTATTGTAGTACCATAAGGGTAATCACATTCTTCATCACTGCTAAATTCTATTTTTATATTTCTACTTGATGATGGATTAATATTCATCTTTGTATTTTTCATTTTTTCAGTTAATTCTTCTAACTGTTTTTTATATTCATCATACTCTTCACCAGTAGATTCTAAGAATTTTTGTTCTAATTCTTCTACATCTGTAATTATATATTGTTTTTCTTCATTTTTTTCCCTTTATTATTTTCTTTTTGAGTTATTCTAAAATCTTGAGGTAGATTAATTATAATCCTATCTTTTCCTTTAAAATTTTTTATCTAATAGAGCATTTACTACTTGTATATTATGTTCTAGATTTTCTAATCTTTTATATATATCCTCAAAACTTTCATTTGTGGTGTTTTTAGGTAAATAGGGATAACTAAGAGTGTGCTTGATTGGCATGGAAAATATGACTTAGAAAATAAAATGTTTTCCATATTTTGTGGAAAATAAAACCCACCTCTACCCAAGGAAAATGTTTTCTTTAAAAACAAGGAAAATTAGGCATCTTTTCAAAAGTTGGAAAATGTTTTCCATGGAAAAAATTAGCAATCAAACACTCCAAGTAGGAATTTGGATGAAAAATTGATATTTTCCATGAAAAATAAATGTAATCAAACACACTCTAAGTTTTTTATGTTTTTCTACTTTTTTCAAAAAAATTTCAATTATATTTTCTTCATCTATTATGTTCATCATAATTTTAGGTTCGTAACATGGCTCTGATACCATTTCTTCGGAGTGTGCAGCGGAGGGGTTAAGATTTTTGAGCCAATTAAATTCTTCATAAGTATTTAAAATATCACAATAGAATTTATAAAATTCACTATCTTTTATTAAGACTTTTTCTTCAATAATTATATTTAACTTTTTAATTCTTCTTTCCAGGTTAAGAATTATTTATGTATATCATTTTTGGTTTTGATTGCTCTTTTATCTATATATGCATTTTTATGTTTTAATTTTGGATCTAAATATTCGGTAAAGAAACTTTTTAGATCTTCTTTTGAATAATTTAATTCTTTATTTGTTGCATTTCTTAGATTTATAAATTTTTGTATAATAAATGGGTTTAAATTTATTAAAGATTTATGATCTATATTTTTCTGAGGACCTAATTGAAGATTTTTATACATTATAATGGCTTTGTTTGCAAATTCTCTATGAAGGGTGTTTTTGGAAAGATTATTATTTAAAGGCTATTCTTCAAATGATTATATTTTTTGGTCTAATCTTACAAACCACTCTTATATTTAGGCTCTACGTAGGTATTTCCTCATGCATGGAGACACTTTAATATTTTTTTTGTTTAATTTTTTTTTGGGGAATAGAGAGACAATTCTTTCTACTGTAACACGCAACTTTTCATACCTCCTACCAACTCTCATCTCTCCACTCCGTGCTAAGTAAAAAATAACTTTATGTAAAAAATTAGTTAAAAAAATACTAATAATAAGATAAATATTATTTCTAAAATGTAAAATTTACTTATATAAGTAAAAAAAATTCGTTTAAAGTTATTTAAAAGTAAAAAAAAAAAAAAGTTATGATTGTAAAAGCTACTTCTAAGTAAAAAAATATTAACTTAACTTTTTAAGTAGATATTTAAAAATAAAGGAATCACTTTTATGTAAAAAATTATTTCAAAAAATATTATTACTAATAAAATTATAGGATACTGTTGATAGTTGGTGTGAGAAAATTGAGAAAGAGTGTCAGATTCAAAGTAATGGAGAAAATTATTTAAAAATATATTATTACTAATAAAACTATAGGATATGGTTGATAGTTAATAGCGCAAGAAAATGGAGAAAGAGTGTCAGATTCAAAGCAATGGAGAAATATTGCAGTGGAAGTGGCATAGCAGTGAAATGGAGAGCGAAGAATTGCTATAGTGTATTTGAATGGAATAATTTACTATTGTCAAACCCGTTTCAAATCGATTTAATGCGAAAATCAGTGTGACAAAAATGAATAGTAAACATCAGATTCTCTCTTTTAAGGTAAAGAGGGATTTTACTGAAATTGAAGCCTCTAACGGAGACATTGACGGCATTATAGGGTATGAAGATACTAAAATAGACAGAAAGAAGGATTTGATGACAGTGATTGGATCAATGGACATGGAGGTTCTAGCTAAGTCTCTGAAGAAACATTTGAAGAAAGAGGTTGAAATTCTACCTCCCAGAAAGGAAGGCGGTGGCGGTGGTGATAAGGGGAAAGTTTGACGATGATAAGGGAAAGGGTTGCAGCAAAGAAGGTGGTGATGGTGGTGGTGAGAAGGAGAAGGATGGTGGAAACAGCAAGGAAGAGGTTGGTGGAGAGAACAAGTTAGAGATGGTCCAGATGGGGAATCCATATCCGTGTATGTACGGGTCGGGTCAATTGGGTGAGCAGTTTCAATACCATCCACAAGGATATGGACCCTACCATGCGCCTCAAATATTTAGTGACGAGAACCCAAACGCTTGTAGTGTTATGTGAAGGAAAGGAAGGGAAATTTGTACATGAAAGAATAGAATGGTAAGTAATTAGGTTTCTTTAATGAGGTGTTAAGGCTTCGATAGAATTAATTATGTTTTGTTATCTTTCTAATTTTGTATCCTCTTCTTATAGTCGTTGCATTAGTTTCGATGCATTTGATTAATTTGTTTGACGCTACGGATCAACGTCGACTCATAACTCATCTCATTTTAAGATTCTGAGTTACATCTTAAAAAGTCATTTTATTAATAGGAGTAGTTCAAACCCTATTATATAAGTCTATATTTCGATAAGTAATCGATGCGAGGTTTATTTTTTAACATGTTTCCATAAAATGGTGGCTCGTTTAAATTGACAAAATTCACGTGTTCGTTTTTTGAATCCTAATCGGATGAATTACTCGTTTGAACTTAATTGTGTCTGAAATCATTAAATTTTGAGATTTCATTTTAAAAGATCGATTTTATTAAAAGATGTATTTAAAATTTTTATATATTGATTTATGTTTTGATAATTAATTGATGTAAAAAATTTTCCTTATAAGATATCAACCAGTCATTTCAAATGAAGGATAAATGTAGGTGTGAGCACATGATTACCATAAAATATGTAAATGATGTCATTATGGCATATGCATGCAGCATGTTGTTGCCTAATTTCTTTGTCTACTCGAAAAGAGATGGATACTTTCCAAATGACAAGGAAAAACTATAAGTGTCTGCTTGATTGCAATGATGAAATGTAGGTGGATGGAAAATAAATTTCAGGGAATTGAATTAATTGTCTAGAACTTATTTTCTTTGGAATTGTTAATTAATGTGTTTGATTGATATAATTTTTCAAATAGAAAATATTGAAATTTTCTATCTTTTGGTGTTCATTTGGTTATGTTTTTCATAAAAATTGTCAATTAAATGAACAAAAGTTGTTACAATTGGAGATAAAATTTGTTCTAATTGTCAAAAAAAAAAAAAATCAAGTGGAAAATCAATTCTCACCAAAATCCACAAAACCATGGAAATGCCACATGTATGGAAGAAAGTTGGAAACAAATTCCATGAAAATTTCTTGCAATCAAACACATAAAAATGGTGGGAAAATATAATTTGAATTCCATTTTTCATGGAAAAGGGGCCAATCAAATAGGCCCTAATTTTAGAAAAACAAACAAATAAATCCCTACAATAATCAAATCTTAGCCATTTTGGAACCATTCGTTTTCTTAGTGAATTAAATCATTAACATTAATTCTACACACTATAGAGTAAGTATTTAATATTGCGTAATAAATAAGTCTTTATAATTATAAATAAATAACAAATTATAATCATTTTAGAAATTTAAGATGATTGTAAGACAAGTTCAAGGTAGCAAACTCTAACAAAAAGCCAAGACACAGAGAGAAAATAATATTTTTCTCTGTTAAATTTAGTCCCTATCTAAATCACTTTTTAAATTTATTTTTTTCAAATTAATTTTCAAACACACATTTCATGAGATCGACAACCTTTATTAACTTTTGAATTACACATTTCACCAACTTTTATCAAAATAAACTAAAAATATTTTTATCCAAACAAGGACATAGAATATCATGTACCGTAAGGCTCTTGGGAAACGTTTTGTGCAAACATCATTTTAAAATAGATTAAGGACTTGTTCGGTAGTAATTATAAAAATTGATTTTTTGATCATTAGAGAAAAAGATAAGTCCCACCTGTGTGTGAAGAAGTCAAAAATGACAGTTGAAATAGTGAAATAACAGTAAAAATAATTGATTTTTTGGGGTGAAAAATTGCTTCCAAACATGCAAGAAAATAATACATTTTTTCTTAAGACCATCCTACCCAAATCAAAACTTGATAGAACTACAATTCTGGTTGAATTCGGTTCAATTCTGGATTTTAGAATAGAGAACTCAACAATTTTGATCTAGTTGTCAGTCCTAGCTACAAAATCAAAATTCGATTATGTTCTATTTTTTATTTTTAATAATCTCTCTATAAATCCATGTTTTAATAATCGACCCGATCACCTACTCGAAAAACAGAAAGGGTCAAGGGTTAAAAGGTTGAACCGGAGTCGAACTCGAATTGAACCGGTGACTTATAAAATCAAAATGAAAAATATACACTTATAAAGAAGAGAAAAAAATGAAAAGTAAATATTGAAATCAAATCACAAAACAATCAATTAAGTCAAGTGCTACTCAATCCAATCATATAATTTAAAATAAGTTAAATAACTGACTAAGTCAATAATATAAAGTAAACAATAATGTCAATAAGTGAATATCATGAAAACTTAAATAGCTAAAATTTAAGAGTTTCACATCAACTATTACCAATACAAAAAATGTAATGTAATAATTGGAACAAAAAAGTGCACTAAACATAAAATATTAAATAGTTAAATTTCGCCTTTATCATTTTCATCTATAAGCCTCAATCCTTGATCGCTTCCATGTTCACATGAACCACCAAAACGATGAATAACATCCATTGTATCTAAATCTCCCATCTCTTGAGTATTAATCTCATCCTTATTTTCATTGTCATCTAAAATACAAAATTGCGTAACAATATATTAGATAAAAATATTTGACTAATATTAATAAAAAAAAAAAAAGATAAAAATAATAAGTTAAGATTATTTACGAACCTTGAACATTATCATCAATTTCATGATCATTAACATTGGAAATTGCATTTTCTTCATAAATAGCATTATCTAAGTCTTCGTACTCGAAATCCTGTGGTGGCAGTTCTTCCTCTATCCAAAAGTTTGTCTTGTCAATACACTCATAATCAATTGGATCGTAAGACCTCTTCTTATAATAACGCCTATAAGGTTGTAAATGAGTAGTAGTTAGATAAAGAAAATGTATCAAATAAATGAGTGATTATAATAAACTCTTGACATGGTAAAAAGTTTAAGATTATATACCTATTCTTCAATCGCAAATTATACGTAACATAGACAAGATCATTGAGTCTTTGATGCTCCAATCTATTTTTTTTTTTTTTGTGTGAATACGTTCAAAGACACTCCAATTCCTTTCACATCCCGAAAAAGAAGCTGTTTGACCAAGTATTCGAACAGCTATCTTTTGCAAAGTTGGAGCACTAGATCCACACAATTTCCACCATTCATCTGCATAATTTAATAAAATTAGTTTCAAGCGCTAAGAACTATTAAAAATAAACAATAAATAACTAAATACAATTTCTCACCAGGTTGTAATGATTTTCTAGTATTACATGCAGATTGCCTTCCAAAACTCCCTTCACGTTATAGATACATCCTTATCTCCCCCATTGCTTTTGTCTCATCACCACAAATACTTTTGATTTCAAGCAAATTGAATAGAGCTTGCATGACTTCTACTTTTTGACAAAATCCTTCTTCATAAATGAAAGCAGGATTGAAAAAAATAAGCTGCTGCATGTATGTTAAGACGAACATGTTTATCCCATCGCTCCTTAATCATATCAGTGTAAGGTTTGTACAATCTCTTCTTATTTAAGAATATGTTCTTGATTCCTTTTTGTGCTCCATGCATGCCACCATATATATAACCTAATGAAGGTTTTTCATCTGAATCTACAATTCGTAACAATCTTATAATAGGAGCTACAATTTTCACGACCATCAAGCAATCCTCCCAAAACTTGTTATCCAAGATAATAGAGCTCATGAGTCTTCCGTTTGCGCTTTTTGAAAGCCTATTATTGCCAAACTCTGCAATGCTTGTTTGTGATCATAAATAATTTTCAATGTAATAAAAGTGGTAGCAAAACGAGTCACAGCTGGATGTACAATTTCTCTCCATTCAGGTATTTTTTGCAACCAAGACAAAAAAAAAATTGTGTGATTGTACACAAATATTGTAATTTTCGAAGCACGTAATGCAAGGGAATGTACGTGACGCATACTACTAATATCTTTTAAAATAAGATTCAAATAATGTGCAGCACAAGGAGACCAAAAAATGTGATCATATTTGTCGTGCAATAATTTCCCTGCCGCCACATAGTTAGCGGCATTATCAGTTACCATATGAACCACATTATGAGGTCCAACCCATTCAACTATCTCAGAAAACAAATTACACAATGTTTGAGCTTCTTTCACTACATCTGATGCATCATAAGATTTTATAAATACGATCCCAGAAGAATAATATACTAAAAAATTAATAAAGTTCTATGTCTTTGATTGGTCCAACCATCGGCCATAATTGTACATCCATTATTTATCCACTGACTTCGATAAGTGTCAACAAGCAATTGACATTCTTTCTTGGAATCTCTCAACAAATTAACACGAATGTCATTATAAGATGGACCTTTAAATCCCGGACCAATTGCAACAGTAGCATCTAAAGCAAGGTGAAAATAAGGTGATTGCAAAGCATTAAATGGAATGCAAGCATCATAAAACCACCTAGCCCAAGACATATGAGCTCTCTTTATTGCTTGTTTACCAGCTAAAGCACTCTTTATACTAGGCTGAGATCCAGGAGTAGTCCTTGGAGCAAAATATGTTTCAATGTTGTCATTTGCTTTCCTCTTCCCTTTTTCTTGACTTCGTTTTTCTAAAGACACATGTATTTCTTGAATATCCTCTTCTATTTCCTCTCCTCCAATTTCTAAATCTATATAATCATTCCCAAAAATACAATCATGAGCCTCTTTAGCATCTTGTTTTTTTTAGATATATCATTAAGAACTCCTTGAAATTTAATTCGAACATCAAAATGAACTTTCTTACATTGAGATATTTGACCTTTAATTCCAGCAAGATGGTATTTCATTCTATTAATTCCCCTACCTTTAAAGCTATTGTTGCAATAAAGACAAGTATCACAAACTTTACCGTCAACATCACAACTAGACGAGAAGTGTTCCCATGCAGAATTAGTCTTTGCATGGCTAGAAGGTGTGGAACCTATAGATTGCCTTTCTGAAAACTGAGTATTTTCATCCATCCTAATTACTAAGTAAAAGAAATTAAAATAACCATAGTTAGACATAGTACCATTACCAGTAAAATTTTCAAACCAAGAAACAGTAAGGCAGGAGAAAAAGAGAACAAAACTCAAGTTCCTTTATTGATGGATAAGTTTGGGATTACACAACGGCACAAGTACAACCCAGAATCTAACTAACAATTATATAAATTGTTAGATACAGTGTAAAAAGGAACTTATTGAGAGAAACCAAGCATAATATTCCTTCAACCTTCCAAACGACAAATTGTACTCCTTTGACAAAAATGGAAAAAAAAATTCCAAATAAAAGCACAGGGACTATTCACTTTTCTTTCATTGAGATATTTGACACCAACGTTTTAGAAGACCAAATTTGTATTTCCTATGGGTAGTAAGATTCCAAGAAACCACCATTAACGAAAGCATTTTAGCTTATGTTAAACCTCATCAAAACAAGTCAACAATAATCCAAGAAATGAATAAAGGGCAATATAACATAATTATGTGGAGAAAAGGTTGGGTTTCTGCTCTTCCAAATGCACATTACACCTACGCAACTCCAAATTTGGCAGGGAATAAAAATGTATACAAATTTCAATAAATTTCACATATCAAATATGAAGATTGTTATTCAAAAACTACAAATATATGAAAAGTAAATAATTCTTATTCCTAAATTAATTAGAAAGAACACAATGAAAATCAAGGTATTTAGAAACAAACCAACCTGTTTTAGAAGTCCATTAATGGAAGAACAAGATTTAATTGAAGAACAAAGTAGAGGATTTTGGAATTTACCTTCTATTGATGCAGCCTGTGAAAATGAGAGAAAGACGGGAGTTTGATTTCGATTGAAACAGGGAATAAGGGTTTTTCTTTCTTTTCACAATTTTATTCTAACCGGTAGCGTGTTACGGGTTTATAAAAAACCGGCTGGTCCAATGGGTTCTCAAACGGTTTTTTAATTAAAAGGTTTTCAAAGCTAATCGGACCGAATTTCAGACTGGTTCCCGATTTTCCCGATTGAACCGGAGGGTCCGGTCCGATTTTCAAAACATTGCTATAAATACATACTCTATATAAATGCATATATGTTCAATATCTTTAAAAGTTTTATTGTTTAGAATATAAAGCGTGAAAATGAAATAATAACATTTACGTGACGATTTACACTTTAATTATTATTATTATTATTATTATTATTATTATTATTATTATTATTATTATTATTATTATTATATTTTTCTTATTTTTGAAGTATAAAGAATGGTACTAGAACCTGTGGTTTAATGGAAAACATAGGGACAAATCTGAACAACAACCAATATGTTATGGTATAATTCGATTCCATTTTTCTTGTAGAACCAATGGCTCCATTTTTGTAATTCTCAATGGAATCGTTTAGGTCCGACTCTTAAAATACTTGGACCAAACCACCTTTGCAGGCCCTTATCATTTATAAATAGATTTACTTATGAATAAATAATTTACATACAAATAGAAATCACTTACAAGTAAAATTAATTATAAGCAATTAATATATATATTGTTAAACAAAGTTAAGAAAGAGTTGCGCATATTTTATCTCAAACTTAAGAATTACTTTTAAGCAAAGGGAATTTTTTAGCTTTAATGTAAGAGTAAGAGAAAAATAGTCCAAAACACGTTAGTAGATTAAAAAAAAAAAAAAGGCTGTTCAAAATTTTACTTTTTTTAATCTTACTTATCAAAAAAGAAAAAAAATAAAATCAATACTAATATTTTTTTAATACGGTGTAACATCAAAAATCATATTCAAAGTACCCCGTAATTCACCTTAATATAGTCCTTCCATTTCGATCCTCCATATATGCAACACGGTATACCAAACGTCCTTAAAATATACTGTAAAGCTAGATAACTACTCATGATTTAATATTTTTTATATTTTAAAATATATTGTGAGATCAAGACGAAGATAAAGATCTAGCAAATAGCAATATAGCGCTAATAATGAATGAGAAGTATATATAACACAACTTATTATAAAGTGTTACATGCAATAATATTATTTTACCTGTATGATGGTGTAAACATTCTGATCACCAAGAACATGTTTGGCAAAGCCTAAAATAACAAAGTAGATTCATTTTAAGTAATTTTTGTGTCTAAATATATGTAGATAATAAATTATCTTCTTTTCTTCTTTTAAGTAAAAGGTAAATCTCATGTAATTGTCAAATAAGTAACTTATTCATTTTAAAACTAAACTCGTTTACCTCTTGGCCAAACATGCCGTAGTCTAAATTACAAGGTATAGTGAAAGCGTGTTTGATTTAGGCCCCGTTTAAACTACATTAATGTAGAAGTGAGAATGAAAAATATAGTTTTTACGGACCCCACATAAGAGATAGAAATTCAAATATAGTAGTTTAATGTGATGGTAATTAACAATCATCCATTTTAATGAACAAATAATAGGAAATAAATAGGGGCCTAATTATAAAATAAGAAGGAACGTTTGGGGGATTCCAAGTCATCATGATTGCATGAGGTAGAACCCATGTGGGGTCTATGAAGATATGGAAAATGACTGAATAGCAATATAGAATTTGAAAATTAAGAACGGTTCTGCTATGTGTACATTCAGGTTTATATCCTGGATGACACTCAACATACATGGGGTGGGCCATGATTATTTTATTAGGCTAAGGCCTTATCCCCATCTGTGTGGAGTGTCATCCAGGGTGTCAACTCGGATGTACACACAACATTATTGAATTAAGAAACTTGTTTTAATGTTTTGAAAATCAGGCCATAATATTAATTTTATTAATTAAATATATTAATGTCACAATATCATACAGTTTGTTGTCACAGTTATGTTGTAGTCATCAGAGAATGCCACAATTACAACTCACAAATTTTATAAATCATAACTTATTTTATCTATCACTAATAGTCAAATTAATTGGTTACACATTATTTCTCATGACAAATCATTAATTTTATAGATCATAATCTATCTATTGATGACAAATTATCAAATTAATATGTCGTTGATAAGTGTATTTTATATACTTATTTAGATTTAAAAATATAGTCATTTAATAGTTCTTTTGAATAATTATAGCCTAATGATACTATGTGATTCAAATAATGAACTGGGACGACTGATGGAGAGAAGATAACTCTCACCATGTCGGATGATCCCTGCTATGTCGGGTAGCGCCTATGCTGTTGTGCCAGTTTGATCGACGGCACGTTTCGCTAGCTCATAGGGTACAAACAACTTTTAGCATGTCAGGCGACGCTCTTCATAATAGAGTGCTTATTGATATGCTAGTCTGACTCTCGTCACACACAGACCGACCGCTGTTATCCGAATTACCCGAACATCATTGGAACTGGTCAATAACCATTCTGACGATTATCATAAAACTTGCTATCTGTGTAGTGGGCGGAAGGTAAACGCTGAACAAGTGGAAAAAATCGTCTGAGGAGTGGGCGGGTCTTAAGAGGACACGTGGATGATAACTGCCCGACCGTTGTGTGATGCCAGACTTATGAGGGCATGTGTATGGCAACTGCCAGTGATTACGTGATGTCAGATGTCTATAAATACCCCATGAGCATGTCCGGTAAAAGGGATCTTTCTTTTCTAGAAAAATAATCTCCTCTGTTATTGTTGCTGTTCTTTGAAATCTTTGATCTAAAAATGATTATTGATTCTGACGCCGGAGGTAAAATGGGGGAGGAAGCCCCAACCTATTTTTTGTAGGATCACCGGAGGAAAAGAGACAACTTTTTCCCTCACAAGAAGACACGGAGCTACATCATAACTATCTCACCTAATTTATTATATATTTCATTTATTAGATGAAACTCAATGAATGGAAGTGGAATTGAAAGAAAAAAGCAAAAATTGACAATTATTCAAAGTTTGGGGACTAAATTATAAATACTCAAAAGTTGTGTTAGACCTCACGATAAAGATTTGAGAATGTTAGAAGCCAATTGGATGTAATTAAAAGTTAAAATGAGTAAAATATGACCAAAATATTTTCACAAAACAATTTTCAACTGCATAAGGCTATTTCAAATGTTTAGTCGAAGATTGAAACCCATTTTTAGCCTAGTAAATGTTCGAATTGGAAAAGATCTATTTTGAGTATTCTCTAGAATAATTGTTACTCTTTGAGTTATCTTTACAACATAATTTAAATCATCTCAATCAGATATCGGGATAGAATATTATGATAAAAATACTAAAGGATGTGCAGTGCTGAAATATTCTCGCGAGATGGTGCCCCATTGCCGCCTCTTTGTCTTCGTGGCCTTCTGATGAGGATCAGGATGTGATTTTGACCCTTTTAAAACATCTAAAAATTCTATAACAATAAAAAATGTGATGGCAGCTATCAAGACAAGAAGAATGTCACTTTTTAGGGATTCCACACAATAGAGGCACAAGATACAATTTGAGATCACAAGAGAAAATCAAAATGAAGGAAAAAAAAAGAATTAAAGATCTAGGTTTTGAAATCAATATTGAAGGCAAGAAGAGAATTTGGTGCAAGATTCATCATCTTTTCTGCATCTCAATTCAAAGCCCGATGATTTACTCAAAGCAAACACTACAAAAAAAAAATGATATTTAACAACTAATATTTCAACGACCAAATCAATCTGGTTGTTAAAAATTATTTTCAACGACCAAATTATACGTTTCGTCGTAGAAATTGGATGACGAATAATCGAATTTTAAATTAGTTGGAAATATCCTATGACGATCGACAAAATGGTTGTTAAATCCATATTTTGAAGGACCAAATTAATATTGGTCATTCTGAGAGAGTGCCAAATAAAATATTCCTGTCAAAATATTTGTTTTTTGTCGTTGATATAGTAAAACAATAACTAATTTTAACTTATTATTAAAACTAAAGGAAAACTCAATACTTAATGATTATTTATTTAGTGGTCGTTACAAACATTCAATGATAGATTATGTTTTAGTCACTGGAGGTTTATGACAACCTCAATTTCAACTTGGCGCTAAAATAGTTTTCGGCATTTAACGACTAATAAGACAGAGTCGTTGAAGGTGACATTCAACTTGTGGTGGAAAGTTTGTGAAAAGAGTAAATGATGTGTCATTTTATTCCCTTTTAATTTATTTCCTTCCATTCACAATATTTCCTTAATTCAAATATATCT